TTCCTGCTGCCTCAGGTTCAGAATGACCAGTGCCAGCCCAATGCAGATGACTCGAGGTGGATGAAAACCACAGAGAAAGGATGGGAACTCCACAGTGTGAGTATCAGAGCAGCCTTCTCCCTGGAGATTCCAGAAAAGGGACCAAGGGCCTTTCCTCCAAAGAGTGCTTCCTCCCCATCTGGGCCTCCACTCTTCTCTGCCTAGAGGGCAGTTGTCTGACAACATGAGGATGCTATAGTTTCTCCCCTCTTGAGTTGACATAATATGGATGGGAACTGACTCACTCCTCTGGCTTGACCCCAAGGACCAGCAGCTTTCCAGCTTTAAAGACCCAGTCTTCCGGGGCTGGGGCATGGATAACTAGAACCAGAGAAGAATGAGAGAGTTTCAGCCACCCTGTTGTCAGTACCCTCAGGTCCCTTCATTGGTCTCAACATAGAAATGCTCATGGTATATGTGACTGAGGGAGAAGTGGGAGAGGGCATGAGAGGGTTGTAAGAGGAGCCTTATAAGGAGAGAGGAGGGCTCCCCTGGTGGCGCAGTGGTTAAGAATCCACCTGCCAATGCAGGGCACTGGGTTCAATCGCTGGTCTGGGAAGATCCCACATGCCATGGAGCAACTGAGCTCGTGCGCCGCAACTACTGAGCCTGCGCTCTAGAGCCCTTGAGCCACAACTACTTAAGCCCGTGCACCTACAGCCCGTGCTGTGCAACAAGAGAAGCCACCGCAATGAGAAGCCCGCGCACCACAACGAAGAGTAGCCCCTGCTCGCCGCAACTAGAGAAAGCCCATGCGCAGCAACGAAGACCTGAAGCAGCCAAAAATAAATAATAAATTTATAAAAAGAAAAAAAGAAGGAGAGAGGAGCTGAGCCAAGCTGGGAGGAAGGGCAACGCTGAGGAAGTTGAGGGAGAGGAGCAGCATAGGCACTGCCATGCAGACTGCAAGAGGGGGCATCCCAACAGGAGGCTAATGCAATGGATTAGCAATACCTGTCTCTGTGACTGAACTAACTCCTCCTGTTTGTGGTTTTTAGGTCGAACTAAATCGAGGCAATAACGTCCTCTACTGGAGAACCACAGCTTTCTCAGTGTGGTCCAAAGTTTCTAAGCCTGTGCTGGTGAGAAACATCGCCATAACAGGTACAGAGAACAGAGAATGGGGTTGGGTCTGGGGTCTGATGCTGACCTCAGCAGGGAGGGTGTGGGTTAGTCCTCAGGGCGCTCAGTCTCTAGGCTCAATTCTTGCTTTCCTATGTTGTTCTTCCTCCCTAGGAGTGGCCTACACTTCAGAATGCTTCCCCTGCAAACCAGGCACATACGCAGACCAGAAGGGTTCCTCTAGCTGCAAACTTTGCCCAGCTAACTCTTATTCCAATAAGGGAGAGACTTCTTGCCACCAGTGTGACCCTGACAAATATTCAGGTGATGTTTCTGAGGGCGGGAAGAGTTTGGTGGGGGGGTACCAACATATACACAGGGACAGACAGGAAGTGGAGCCATCCTTTTGGCCAAGCTGAAGACGATTCTTCTTAAGCACTTGCTTTCTGGGCCCCGGAAGAGCCCAGCTAATCTGCCAATCACTCTTGAAATGAAATCATTCAGTAAGTATTTATCAGGCCTCTACTATCTGCCAGGCCTTTACTCTACATGTTTGGAATACATCAGTGAAAAATATAGACAAGGGTCCCTGTCTTCATGGAATTTACATTCTGGAATGTAAATGGGATACATAATAACTATAACAACTAAATAATAAATATGTAGTAAATTATACAGTGTATTAGATAGCAAAAAGTGCAGGGCACCACGGCAAAAAGCAAAAGCAGCTCAGAACTAGAGGAATTAGGAAAGCTATGGAAAGGGGTTGCAATCGTTTTTTAATGAAACCTTAATTAAGATTATAATTATAAATAATATATACAGTAGATAAAAGAGGTATGAATTTATACATTTTTATTTATAACAATTATTATCAAAGTTAATTTAGAAGAGCCATGAGGTCGTATTGTTACGCAAAACATTTTGATAGCAAGAAGCTATAATCTTTCATCCACTGAATTCAAAGCATCCATTGAATTCAAAGCAGGCCTTGTCGGGAAATCCAGGGTTCCTTGGAACACAGTTGGAAAACCACTGCTCTAAGGGAAAATAAGAGGACAGTGGGAAGCAGGCTATTTCTGCAGTCCCTGGATAATTTCCTAAAACAGCCCAACTTTGAGAAACGGGACCTGGTTATTTGAGAGGATCTCGACAGCAGCAGGGCTCTGGTATAAGATGGGTAGTGTCCCCAGAGGGCCCTGTGCTTAGACAGTCCAATGACTGGCACAGCGACCAATCTCCAAGACAGGTTCTGAAACAGACAGGTAGGGAGAGAGTAAGAGTCCCCTCCCTTCCCCTGCAAATGCCCATAACTATTTCATTTTTCCTTTTTTACACAGAACTATATACAAACCCGGCTCAAGGCCCTCTCTTAATCAGACACCCACATCCCTACACAGACACACCCACCCTTCACACAGGTGTCACAGTATGTGTTTGCTCAGCCAAGACCCACCACTGACCTTGTGAGCTGCTTATTTCTACACCATCCCTAAAATAGACGTTCTATTTATCTACACAGATCTTGCCAAATGAGTGTCGCTTTCAGCAAGAACATAGATTTTTAGATCTTGGGGGAAGTTTTTACCTATAAGTCTAAATTCCCGTTTTTCCACTTGAATTTCATATTCCTCTTCCCTGCTCTATCAATAGTGGCCTTTGTTAGTCTTTTTCTCCAGCCCCGCTGTGGTACAGGGTTTAAATGGCAAGGTGGTTCTAGAAGAACTGCCTACAGAGTGTTTTGATCAATGCTATGTAAATTGATTTCTATCCAGAGAGCGGTTATGAAGGTATTAGTTTGGGAGTCTGAATTCTTGGGGTCTCTTCTCCTTTTGCCGCTGATTTCTCCATCCACCTGTTTAAATGGAAAGTGAGATTTTACTATGAAGAATATGTTCAGCTTGGGATACAAAGAGTATCACGTTTCTTTTGGGACTTGATTGTTCCAGAATACAGGGTCGGTGGGAGACTGGGAAAATGCAGAGAGAGTCTGATGAGAGCCTATGATGGAATGCACATAAAGGGAGTGGCAGGAGGCCCTGTGACCACTTAGTCATTCATTTGTAAATATATTCTGAGTGGCCACTGGGTGCCAGGGCTTGGACTTGATGCTAAAGTTACAGCTGGTGCTGTGTTCCAGCTTACGTCAAAAGTGGAAATGTGGTTATAGAAACACCAAGTGTAATAGCTCCACGGTACAGGAGGTGCTAGGATAGGAGTACTGAGTGTAATGTGCGGTGGAAGCAAAAGAGGGAAGTGGTCAGTCCTCTCTGGGGAGGGAGGAAAGGCTGCACTAGCTGTGGTCTTGAAAGATAAGCTATCTTGAAAGATGAGTTGGTGATTTGATGGGGGCAGGATATTCTGGAAGAAGTGTGAGCCAAGGCCAGAAGGCTCAGGGATCCAGGAGTAACTCAGCATTGCTGGAGCTTACTTAGAATTAGCATCCAAGGCTAAGAGGTGGGCAGGGAACAGGTTACAGTTAAACCCTTCTGTGCCATTGCTACAGAATTGGGATTTGATCCTATCAGCGTTTGAAGCCATTAAAGAATGTAAAACTGGGAATGACGTGATCTGGCTTGTGCCTTTGAAAGACCATTCTGGTTGCCATTTGGAAAATGGATGAGGAAAGGAAGAGCTGGAGGCAGAAGCTACAGTCAGAAGATTTTGCATCAGGTGCCATTGCCCGTATCCAGGACCTAGACTAATGAGGAGCTGATGCGCATGTGGATGTCAGGGACAAAGGCTTGACTGACAGCATCTTTCTCATTGAGAGATTACATTTGATCATTAGGATTAATTCCTTTGTGTTATGCTTAATATTAGGGATTCATTTCCTAATAGAACAGCACAGGGTTTAAGGGCATGGACTCCAGAACAAAATCACTGCGGTTCAAATACTTGCTCCACCACTTCCTAGCTGCGCCACCTTGGGCAAATCACTTGTCTGTGCCTCAGTTTTCTCATCTCTAGAATGGGAATGACAATAATTGTATCTACCTCATAGCATCATTGTGTGCACTGATTAAAACAGGTAAAGATTTAGAACAGTGTCTGGCATGTAGTAAGCACTGATTTTATTTATTCATTTACATTAAGGCCTGTCCCAGCAGTCTTCTTGTGGTGTGAAACCACTCTGGGCATAGGTAACAATAATTAGTCACTTGTACAGTACTTTACAGCCTACAAAACATTTTCTCATTACTCGTAGCATAGTGAAGGGGTGATTTCCCCATTTACAAATGAATTAGGAGAAGCTCACAGAGGTTAAGGGATTTGCCCAGAGTCTGTGGTGGCGTCAGAGCTGGGCATTGGGTTCATTCGGTACTGAAATCTTCAGGGGAAATGTTTTCCTTGGTTAAAAAGGATCAGAACGAGAAGGTTGTATTTCCGGAGGCAGGGGGAAGATACGGAAAGGAGGAGGAAGGTGCAGAAAGAGCAGGTGGAGCCCCCAAGATAAACTTTATCTTCAAACAGTTTTACCCAGGGCCAGTCCTACAGGAATCACTTTTCATTTTCTCAACAAATATCTAGGCCAATCCTTCAAATATCACTAGTCTCCAGCTTCAACACCTTGATGAAACCTGAGCTGGGAAAGTGAGGTCTGGCTCAGCATTTGCGTTAATCATTTATTAAAACCAGTTTAGAAGTTGTCAGTGTGTAAACGGCTGGACCCTTTTTGCTGAAACCCGGAGCTGGGGTGTCAGGTTGAACAAATATTTGACAAGCAGAGAAAGGTCCCTGTGTGGAATGCACTTTCTAACACGTAACTTGCAATTTGCTAGATCTAGTATGCAAGGGCCTGGGAACTGGCTTATTTTCAGCATGTCCCCCCAAATTTCTCCTGGCCAAGTCTGTCAAAACCAGGAGTCCCTGTCCCTCTATGTTGAAATAGGCCTTTGTTTGTTAACCAAGTAAATGAACTGAGAAGACCCCAGCTGTTTCTCAGCCAGTAGTTCCCTCTTGCCCAGGCTAATTAAGATGGGGACAGAAGAGGCATGGAAGTGTGTGATTGAGGGAACTCCCCAGTGCTGGCCAACAAGGTGGTAACTAGGAGATTCTCCCATCTAGCGACTTATTTGGTGCCTTGGGAAGAAGAAGGGACCAGTTGAGAAATAAGCCTTAACTGGAAGAGAAAGGAGACTTCTAATCCTTATTAAAAATCCCATGACAGTTACCAAATAAAAAGAATTCCCACAAACCCAGGTGATAATAGTTACCAGCACTTAGCAAATTCTTACTTACAATGTGTCAGGTATGTGCTGGCTCCAGTAAGTAGATGTTATTATTCCTGCTCTAGAGGTGAGCGTACAAAGGCTCCGAGAGGGTAAGTCACTTGCCGAAAGTGACGCAGCTACTAAATGATTAAGCAGGATCCAAACCCAGATCTGTCTGACTTAAAAATCTCATTCCATTCTACCAAACTGCCTGTCAGGTAATAGAGAGAAGAGGTCTCACCATTATCACCTGCTTACCTGCAGGTAACAGTAGTCATATTAGAAATAGTGGTGACAGTAGTAGTAAGCAGTATTGTACTGGCACTCTGTAAAGCAGTGGTTTTTATTCTGGAGAAAGTAAATCTCCTGGAAATTAAAAAAAATTATTTTTATGAAATATATATATTTTTCAGGATACAGGAAACAGGTCTTTTTTTCAAATTCTCGAAAGTGTTTGTAATTCAAAAAAGGTGAAATCCATTGCTTTAAAGAGGGATTCATTGAAATAGTTCTTGCTATCCAGGGGTTCATAAGGTTAAAGCAGAACTAACCTAGATATAAGAAGAATATATAGAAGGGCTTGCCTGGTGGCGCAGTGGATAAGACTCCACACTCCCAACGCAGGGGGCCTGGGTTCGATCCCTGGTCAGGGAACTAGATCCCACATGCATGCCACCAACTACGAGTTCTCATGCTGCAACTACGAGTTTGCATTCCGCAACTAAGAAGCCCGCATGCTGCAACTAAACGTGCCGCAACTAAGACCTGGCGCAGCCGAAATGAATACATAAATATTTTCTTTTAAAAAAAGAACATACAGAGAGTAAAGTAAATAAAAATGATAACATTTTTCATTAAGTTCAGGTCAAGGCTTAGAGAGTGCTGTGAGGCCTGGGGGTGGGGAAAGTGGAAAGAGTTGGATTAAGCCATCACCTTATTTGCGTAGGATCGTTGCATGGAGAAGGGGAAATACAGAGGTGGAAGGCCTTCATTCTAGGCATATATTAAGAGACAATTCAGAGACAGAATTGGAGTAAGAGGATGAAGCACTGTCCTAGCTTTCCTATGTTTTGGTTCAACCCTTCAAGAGTAGAAAAACCACCTGCACAGTCAGGGTTCTGAGGCACCTGGAAGATGGCGAGTTCCAGGGAATTGGTGGTAAACCTGCAAGATGCTCCTTCTGGCTACCTCCCTCCTTGCTGGTCCTTTGGCCAGTCCACCTCTCCATGCCCTACTCCACAGGGCAGGCCCAGTGGTTTCTCATCAGCACCGGGGAGAGGTGCAAAGTGTGTATCTGAGCAGGGATTTAGGGACCGAAAATGATGCTGCTCAGGCAAAGGGAAGGGGGGTGTGCAGGATTGTCTACTTTCTGCGATGTCTGTGTTGTGCCTCACTCCAAGGTCTTGGGCGTTATAGCATCGTGAGCAAGTGGTCAAGAGCTCTTTTTTTTTTAACTTCAAATATTTGTCCTTGCGTCTGCCGTTTAGAAAAAGGATCCTCCACCTGCAGAGCGCGGCCAGGCTGCACAGACAAAGATTACTTCTTCACTCACACGGCCTGTGATGCCGGTGGAGAGGTGGGTAGCACGGTCATGGGGCCCCTTTGCCTGCTCCTTGGGCTTTGCCAGATCCGGACCTCCAGCAGCCAGTGAAGCTGGCACCCCAGAAAACCCCACAGACCTCTGCAGTGACCCTGGGGCCAGTGGGGAAGCAAAACGAGATGACCTCATTTATTTTCAGGTCAGAAGCTGTTTTTGCCACATTCCTTCCTCTGCTTATTCACATATGTTCTGTTTTGAAAAACACCTTCATTTTCTTTTCCTTGGTTTCTTCCATTTGCTTCACCCCCTGGGCGATGGCTGCCTGTCCACGCGTACTTATTTCTTCATGGAACTCATCAGACTTGTCCCCTCGGCGCTGCTCTTGTGGGCTGGCAAAGGGGATGATTCCTACTTCCTGGCTCACTGGAGAATGGCCTGACTTGTTCCGTCTCTGCTGGCTCCCTCTTTCCCCCCAGGCTTTCTGCCTCAGAAAGACTTTCCTTTGTAGTCTGCTGTGCCATTGAGTCAACAGGCATTTTTTTGAGCATCAGCTGTTGTGCCTGGCACTGTGCTCCAGCTGGGGAATCAGAACTGAGCAAGACGGGCTCCTGCCCTCAGAGGCTCACAGTCCTGTGGGGGAGGGCAGGGACAAGGAAGATGGGCCTGACGGTGTGCAGGGCACTGGGGGAACCCAGAAGAGGAGTGACCAGGACGGGGGGTGGCGGGCAGGGAAGGTGTTTCAGAGGAGGTCATTTGTTCACATGTACAACCAGCCACTGTGCTGGGCGCTAGGTGTGCAGCAGCTCACAAAACCAAGGGAACGTCTACTCTCGTGGAGCTAAATTCCTGTTGGGGAGCAAGTGGAGGGAGAGACATCAGACAGACAACAAATGGGTGTATAGTAATACATCAGATGGTAGTAAGTGGTAGGAAGAAAAACATAAAACAGGATTGGGAGATAAAGAATGACAGAGCTATTTTAGAGAGGGTAAGGATGACCTCTCTGAGGAGGTGACATTTGAGCAGAGATCTGAGTGAGGTGAAGGGGAGCTCTCCAGGCAGGGGGCGCACAGCAGGTGTAGAGGGGGCAGGTGTGTGCCTGATGACTTCGAGGAACAACAGTAAATGAGCAGGGATGGCTCAAGGGCACAAGTGGAGGGATCTGTCTCAGATTAGACATTCTGAATGAACTGCCTATATCCCTAAATCAGAGCCTCTCAAGAAATAGGAGTGGGGAATTCTGCATCATTCAGCACTAAGCATATGCTTGGCTATTAGGATGTATAAATGTTTCCTGGCTGGCTGGCTGGCCGAATCCTCCTTTTGCTAATTAAGCATGGGATAAAGTCCAATCCTTTATGGTGATTGTTTCTATAGTCATCTCTTACTGCCCCCCGCACTGCCCCACCCCACCCTCATGTTTCGAGGAAAATCCCCTTCCCTAGCAGCCAGGCGAAATGATGTATCTTGTCAGTTGCACCTTAGACCCAGTTCTGTAGTGTCTGGTGTTCTGCATGACCTTGTAAAAATTACTGTCATTTACTTGGCCTCAGTTGACCCACTGGTTAAATGAGGACAATCCTGCTCCTTTTCTCCCTCCAGGCCATAACATGTCCGATTGTGGCTGTCTTTGCTTCCTCCTGCCCCACTCTCTCCCCTCCCGGCTTAGACCAAGGCATTCTAGATCCGTAGTGTGCTCTGATGCCTGCAAGCCTGGGTGCCTCCCCTCCCCTGATCACCTTGAGGGTCTTTAGATGCTGAGTGGGGCCAGAGCCAGTGCTCGCACCTTGCAGCCCCGCCAAAGCACAGCTCAGGGAGGAGCCCTGGAGTAGACGTGGTGAGGAGTGCACAGGGATATGCAGTCACCAGGGGTGCTTTACAGAAGCCTCAGCCCTCAGGCCCACACTGGTTCTGCTCGGGATCTTGTTTTCTAAGCTGTATTTTAAAATCAAGGGACTCCTATTATTGCCTTTATGGCCTTTGCTGTGCCTCAGTGCTTTCTCAGGGACCAGGATGGCCGATCCACTGGGGCTGCTGAGTGTGCTGCTCCAAGAGATGGCCTAAATCAGTCTACCAGCTCCCCAGACCTTTCTCTCTATGAGACTCAAGGAGACAAGCCAGTTGAGATAAGGTTAGAGCACTAGTCCAGGTCTCTGGTCACTGGCTGCTCTTCACAGGGAGAAAGGCTGAGAGTTGTTTGTCTCAGGGCTCACCTTCAATGCAGGCAGCATAAGACCCTGTCATTTCTTATCCTTAATAAAATGGACCGATGCTTTATTCACCCACCTTTTCACATGTATGGTATGCTACACAGAGCATTTGCCTCATCACCTCAATGCAATCCTTTTGTTTCTGACTTGCCCGAGGGCCACACAGGAAGCTTCACACTGCCCAACCTCACCCCTGATTCACCAAGGCCTCCTGTAATTCATCTCCTCTTCTCTATCCAATTTCTCCATCAAAAGACTAGGGACGACTCTAATAAGTGACAGATACAATACTTCTCTTGTCCACTGACTTGGTGGCTGACCGTTCCTCTTGCCTTTTTCCCCTGTTTTTTTTTGAGATATAACTGACACATAACATTGTGTAAGTTAAAGTGTACAATGTATTGATTTTATTTTTTTTATTTTTATTTTTTTTTGCGGTACACGGGCCTCTCACCGCTGTGGTCTCTCCCGCTGCAGAGCACAGGCTCTGGACGCGCAGGCTCAGCGGCCATGGC